TTCCCTACTGCAGTGTTAGCTCCCCAAAAGCAATATTTCTCTCCAAGTTCCTCATATACCCACAGATTCTTGATTCGAGGGAAATTGCTACACACAGGCCCTGAAAAGGGAAGTTGTCTGTGAAAATATCTGGCAGGGTTTCCTATTTTTAGCAATCCTCCTCCTAAACATTATCTGCAAGTTGTAACAAACACCAATGGCAGTAGGTGTGCCAGGAATGAATGAATGGGACTCACCTATAAACTCTGTGACAGGATCATGTTCACCTTCTGTTTTGATAGTACCTGCAATGCTTTCATTCTCCAGGATTGGAAGAAAGAGCTGCACAAAGTCTGAGGTATATGGAGGAGCAATCACATCGAGCACCTGAAACAGCAGACACAGATTAGTCTTCCACTTACAGGGATAGCAGGGACAATATTTAATTCACAATACTAGAATTGAAAGCACAGAAGTAGTTGCACTTAGGATGTCTTGTTCTCCATGCAAACAATTCACTGTATTCTTGTGGTATTCTATCCAGTACCTCATTGCTTTTAGGAGTCAGTAGGACTAAGTCACACCCTGGTGAATATTGACACTACACACATTGCTCAGAATATGATCTGAGAGCTGGAAGCTGATTTAATATCCAAGCACATCCAACTGATAGTAAATTTCAGATGCCAGTAACCAGTTTTTGCTGCTGACCTCTGTCACAAAGTATCTGATGAGCGAGATATCCGTGTCCAACTTCTCCAGACACTTGCGGATGTAGCTGACAACAGGCAGGACATAACCTCTGCTGAGCAAGTGCACCATCCTGTCCAAGAGAGTCTTCTTCAGTTCCAGCTGGTGGTGTGGGGAGGGAAGACCCAACAGATCAGAAATGTGCAGTTTCTGTTGATTCAACGTCTGCTACGTTACATTTTAACCACGACCACATTCCTAACTGAGCTCTCAAAACTGCTGGGACAGCACAAATCTATTCACTCGAGTAAGTGTAACCAGCATGAAGGAACACAGAGTCCTTTGAGAATCACCTGCTCCATCACATCCAGCTGTGAGTGCTCTGTCTCAAAGAGCTTGACAAGAAGCTGTAGAACTTGGGGGTGAAGCAGCTGGTGGCATGTACTGATCTGCAAACAAGACAGCAAAGTTAGAACTGCAATTTAAAAACCAACACTCCAGTCTTTATTAGGCAAGTTTACACTGACGTTCAGTGCCAGATGGAAACTCATTCAGAAAAAGTATTCCATCCTTTCTTTGCTGCCCAAGTTTTCCCAGTGTAAATAATGCTGAGCTGACAAAACCAAGTCATTAACTCTGAACAGATTCCTCTCTGTGTATCACTGCCTTACTGCAGACATCAGGCATTTCATGGATGTTACAAGCACCAAAGCTGTTCTTGCTCTCCAGCAGCTTTATACACACTTACTTCATCCAGTAGTGCCAGGTGAACTGGAGTGTGATCAGTCTGCAGCTGGAAGTATCGTGGTTCTGACACTGTCCAATCCACCCACTTCAACACACCCATAGCCACCACTGGGAACCTGCATGAAAAAGAGATGGAAGCTTTACTAGGAACACAAAGCAATCTGCCATCTCTCTCCAGTGGCACAGAAAAGCATGTTCTGTGGCACAAGAAGGACAAGTTGTGTGTGAAAGAGGATTTATGTCCTCATGAGAGAGATTCAAAGAGTTGGATGGACAGGTCTGAATGTTGCTTTCACATCACATCTTCATGTATTCTAGAATGAGGAAGTCCTCACAGAGTAGCCCATAAAGGCAGCTCCTAAATAATACTTTCCCTTCAACAACTGGAGCTTGGGACCTGCCTCTCTGCTCACCTGATGCACTGATAGAGAGTGCTCAGCTCTGCCACCAGCTCTGATGCTCCTTTGTTCTCATTGCAGCACAGATTGTGAACAGTTTCAATGGCTTTTGAGGTTGACTTGAGTTCATCCTTGTTTATGCTGACTCTCTTGTTCTGCAAAACGACGGCAAAGTTTGAATGCAAGAGTTGTGAATGCACCAGGTGCCTTCAGTTACTTATGGAAAGGAATGATATAACCTGCAATAAGCCTAAGATTACATCCTGTTTCTCAACATTTCAACTCAAATGCAAGTTCAGAATAACTAGCTATGAGTGAGCTAAGGACAAGGATGTTTGCTCATTTCATTCCATAAGAACTGGTTCATCCACTTCTCAGAATCCAATTCCTCTTCCTCTGAAAAAGCACACTGGTTCTAGCATCAGAACCCCTGGGGGAAGGTGGGGGAAAAGAGCAAAATACTCAGTGCACTCAGACTTTAACAGTACTTTTTGACCATCAGGATCTACAATTTTAGTCCTTTCAGCTGAAGCCAGAAACATTACATATTAAAAATTAGTAAATCAAGCTGAATATTTTATTTGAAACTAAGCAACTTTACGATCACACATTTTCTTCAGCACAGTCATGTGCTGGAGGTAAAAACAAGGTCATTCACAGCACTGAACATTACCTTTTTCCACATCTCCACAACACTGGCTGCATATGCCAATATGTGAATGTATTTATGCTTGTGGTCCTGGTTGATCTTAGCACCTGGTTTAAACAGTGACTGCATGAAGAGGTCCAGAAAGGCAGGTACTCGAATCTGAGAAGAGAATGAACCATTTATCAGAGCCTGAGAAGTATGAGAGGTGACTAAGAATATAGTTCTTGCATCTGATATAACTTGCATAGAAAGAGATGTAAGACTTTTTCCCCCCTTTAGAGTAGGTTAGACAGTTTTCTGAAGAGACACAAGCTTTTGACAGAAATAAATAATAATAAGAAATAAGAAATAAAAATAAGAAATAAGAAATAAGAAAAATAAGAAGAACTAAAAGGAAACAGAGTTACAGACTATGTTGCTGAAGTATCTAAATGGCACCATTGTCACCAATGTTAAAATGAGGCAGTGGAGAAAGGGATATGTGGCATTTAGGACTGCTTAAAACACAGTGCAAAATTGGGTGAGTTTTTTGTTAATATTTTTCTAAAAGAAGTTAATTAGTTCCTTGCCATCTTTAGCTCCTAAAAAGAAGTTCTTTAATATAGTTCCACATAAAAAGGCAATTTGGAATGATTAAAAAACAGCCACCAAAAATAGCAAGAAGCTAATGCAATACAGAACCCAAGTAGTAGTTTTGTATTTAGACATAGCTTCAAATTACAGAGGGATGAGTGAGTGCTAATTTCATTTCTGTGTTGCTGCAACACTCAGCACATCAAGACATCACCTTTCTGAGTGCCACTGTCATGGAAGCAATCTTCAGAGGTTATGAACAGAACTACTAACCAGTTCTACTGGAGGTGGGTCCATGCTTGTAAACATTTTGAAGAGGACAGTGATATCTGCAGGATTCAGAGCTCCTTTGGACAACATTGCACCAAGGGCCTGACAGGCTCGAGGGTAGGAGGCAGCAGTACCCAGGGCTAAAGTGATCTGACTGGCATCATGACCTCTGGATGAACAGCAAACACACAGAGCAACTTAGTTTCTTCATTCAGACATCTGAGTTTAAACCTCACTGACTCAACAAGGCACATCCCATGGACTGTAATGCCTTTGTGCTGAACCCTTATCCTGGGCAATTACAGATCAAGGTCTGTATTTCCCTTGTTTGTTTGTAAATTGTTCATAGAATAATAAAAATACATATTTCTGTGTTTCTATTTACATATTCACAGACAGAAACTTCAACTCTTTGCTCTCCCAATTTCAAGTCTCCGTGGTAGAGGACACTGAACTTCTGTTAGTCTGTGAATTAAAGGCTGATACAAGAACTGCTCTGCTGCAGCTAAGAAATATTTTGCCAGTAAAAAAAGTAATCCAGAATGAGCAAAAGCAGCAGTTGACAAGTTCTGGGGAGTTACATTTCACTACTACTACAGCTCCCACTTACTTCTCATGAGCATATCGCTGAACCTCCTGAGCAATCCTCCTGACTGCTGACCCTCCTTGCTCCTCCTGGGCCAGTATAGACATCATGGACTGAGCAAAGAGGTAAGTGTGTTCTCCATGGCACACCATCTTCTGTGGAAACACACAGCACAGTCAGCAAGAAACACCCACATGTGCTCCTGTCATGACATTGTCATAAGAGCAAAGGAGAAAAACAAACAGCGAAATTGCAAAGGAAAAAAACACAGCACACACAACTAAACAAGAAACAAACCCCCAAAATCAAGGACAGAAAAGCATTGATACCACACAAGAAGAAATGGCTAAATTGAGAAGTTCATTTCTTAAATGCCAGAACTGAGAGGAAAGTGTGTTCTGCTTACACCCAGTACTTTCTCTGCAGTATTTAAACAATAGGAGAAGTACAAAGTCATTCAGAAATCCTTGAGGTATTTCACAACACTGAACACGTGCTGGGTTGATTCAGATGGCAACTTTCACACAGCCCAAGCAATTCTTCGGCACAGAATGACCAAAAAGCATAAATATCTAGGTTTTAACTCAGATACACCTCATCTTCCTAAGATTTTGTAAGACTTGACCTCAGGATTGTCTACAATCCCACAGTGATCTCTATCTCCCAACCAGAAAGGAAAACACTTCTTTTTTTCCGCATAAAAATGGGGGGGAAAAAAAACCCCAACTTACAGCAAACTCAGGGAGGTTTTTTTCAAGGTTTTCCTCTCCTCCATCTAAAATTGTTGCCAGAGATGTCCGCAGGACCCTGGAAAACACTTCCAGCTGCTGACATGCTGTTGAAACACTGGTTATTTCCCCTTGATATCCAGCATCAGATATAAGCTATAGAAAGAAAAATACCACAGAAAACTTGTTATTTATGTTTACATTTCTGATGTCCTAACAAGCCTAGAAGAACCCACAGAATCTGCACACATTTACTGGAGTTTACATTCCCTATTGTAGGGCAGAAAAGAAAACCACTAACGTTGTAGCAAAACCAAAGTAAACCATAAGGATACAAAAATACTGCAGGGCACACAGGAACATCCAAAAATTCAATGTTCCACTGCACCAGAAATCCAGAATTTTCAAATACAGACCAAAGGAAGAAAACCCAAAATCCATCCCACAAAAACCAAACCAACAAACAAAAAGATACACGCCAATGAACAACTCATAAAGCAGCACCTCAACCTGGGAAACTACACTCACTGCTTGCAACCTGTAGCACAATTCCTCCCACCAATGTGCACCTGTAGATAGTACTAGCAGGAATACATAGATACAAGCAAGACCATAGCTAATATTTGATGCCTGAACAATTAGGCCTTTATGGAGGTTCTCAGTACCTTCACAGTAAAATTCAGCATGAGACAGTCAGGATGGGCCTCTGCCAACTTGTAGAAGAGATCTCTCCACGTTGTATGTATTATCATTTGCTCAAGCCAGGCTGGAGTCTGAAAAGAACAGAGTAACAGAGAGAAATATAACAACATGTAGTTGCCCAAAGCATTAAAAGTAAGGCTGTTACCTCCCAGGAGTCCTGACAGTTGTTCTGCAGAACTTTATGACAAAGTAGGATGCATTCAGTTCTCTAAACTCTGAGGACTCCAGTGAGACAGGGCTGGTTTTCTGAATCTGTTTCTTAACCAAAGAGCTCTGAAGATACAATTTCCCTTCCCCCACCATCCACCACTCCATCAGATGAAACCCCCTCATGTAGAGACAGCAACATGGATTTCATGCACACCTCTCCTTCCTCTGTAAAGATGGAATCTGCTTTCCGAGGGTCAAAATGCTTGATAAGTAAGCTCTTCAAATGGTTTTCTACAGTCTCCTGCACTTGCATCGGCTCAACACCTGTACAGAAGGAACAGAAAACTTAGCAGATGCAATGCAAACGTGGCAGCAACATCTTATATTTTGCAATGAGCACAGAAAGCACTCAGAAATTTATCAACACAGAGAAGACAGGAGAGACATCAGTTCTACTATCAAGCCACACTGATACAGACAGAATTACTGATTCCCCATCTTTTTTTTCCTAAATGCAGATTGGTGAGGATCACAGCAGATCACACTAGTCTAGGATAACACTGAACATGTCTCCCAAGAGGCTAATCCATAATTCTTGTCTCAGAGAACACAGAATCTGCACCAGAAGTTTCAAGGTAACCACTGATCCACCAAGAGGGAATAGTAGCTAACAAGGTAATTGTTTTTCAATATTAATTGTATAACTCTATTACAAAACATCAAATACTGCTAACACTATCTATGTAAAAAAAGAAACTATAGTTTATGCAGTGGCTTAAACTAAAACCTGCCATAACAGAGTTTGTTGGCATTTCAAAATGTTCATCAACAGATTATTTCATCATTCTCTAAGCAGAATAGATGATTATTATAAGGGATTTAGTCACATACAAGATGACTTTGTAACAATCCACTGCCTGTGCAGGAAATTTGCCACCAATTCAGATATTTCTGACCAAAGAAAGGCCACAGAGACAAATTATTCTGTATCACATATCATACCTGTATGAATGAGCCACTCTGCCAGCAAATTCACAGTCTGAGCCACTGCAGTGTAGTTTTCAGAGAGGAGCTGGATAACATTCTCTGGAGAACCTCCTGCCTGGAAATATCTGATGAAAGGATTACAAAAGAACCATTGAAAGTCATATTAGAAACAAAACCCAACTGAACTGTACACAAAGGGGAAGCAATAGCACCACTTGTAGCTTTTCACACACAGTGACAACACTCCAGCTCCAACACCCATAACCACCACACACAGCAGGTCACACTCACCTCTTCAAGGTGTTAAATATCGATGGCTCCATTATGTAGTCAGGTGTTGAAAATTTCTTCAGGCACTCCTGCTGGACTTCGGCATCATCTTCTCCCTCCCCATCCTCATCATCCTGCTATTCACAAGCATAGCCAAGTCAGCCACATCTCCTGCCCCGTTTCCCTCCACAACCCCAATATTTAGGCTATTTGTTTTGGCGACCAGAAACTCACACACCTCGATTCACCCCGCGAGCAACCTGCTGCCCTGCCCAATACACCTTGTGAACGGAGACACAAAAACCAGCAGCGTCTTCGTCCCGTTCGGGGATGCTCCGGGGGAATGTTCCGGGGGAATGCTCCGGGCCCCGTTTGGGATGCTCCGGGCCCCGTTCGGGAACGCTCCGGGCCCAGTTCCGGGATGCTCCGGGCCCAGTTCGGGAACGCTCCGGGCCCAGTT